ATTACCAAAGGAAGTGGAAGGAACAGCATGTTCACCAGCTCCAGAGCCAGGAATAACAGAAGCCACACGTTCAACAACAGCCATATGACTACAGGCAGGCTCTGGTAGGGCACTTCCCATTCAGGATTAACATAATGTTTATATGAAGCAAAAAAATGCACCTTGCTTACACAAAGCAATATATTTCTCTAAGAAATATATGCTCCTGAAACAGGAAGCAATACCTCCGGCCTCTTGACTCAGTAGGTGGATGAACCCTCAGACTATGGATGCTGGCTACAGAAACAGGATTTGAAATTCTGTTTCCAGAAAGCATGCACTGGGTATCATCCCAAAGATCAGCATCCCCAGTTCTCAGAGTACAAAACAGATGTTCTGACTGGTAGTTAACTCCTGCACACAATGTCATTGCTGCCCCAAGTGAAACAGAAGAGTGAATGGGCAGCAGATGAAGTGGGGCCCCATCCTTGTCCTTATTAATTATTTAAAAGTCCTCAATGTCTTCACACAGAAAAAAGTTTTCAAAGTGTTAATAAAAATACACCTTTGGGCCAACAAAGGTCTTGACATCCCAAGCTAAGCAGCCAAGGATGAATCCAGAGTCATTACTCTGAAATAATCAGTGCTTTTTTTACATGTGCTTTTTAAATTTATATGTGAAGCAAATTTAATCTGTTTGCCCTTATCTATGTTATTTTATACCCAGGTTTCATTTTTATCCTCATGTGAGTTAAACATATAAGATATAAAATAATAAATATATAATATAAATAAATATAATAATAAATAAAATCCCCATTAACAAACATACTTAAAATTTTATCTTGAAAATCTCTTTAGATGTCATCATAAGAACCAGCCTCTCTCACTGGAGAGCACACAATAAGACAGGGCAGAGGCAAGATCAGTACTGACCATGGGTGAGAGCTGGGTGGTCTTCTGTCCCTTTGTGGGGAAAGCACTGAGAGGAGAGGAGACAGACTCACAGTCCCTCTTCACAGAGCTCTGCAGTTACTGTATAAAATAAATGGCTAATCTAAAAGGTATAAATAGCAGGTAGACAAGGGTCTGCTGCACATCAGGGACTGTTTGCTAGCAGTCATGCTTGAACTCTTAAAAGTGGAGACCTGCATGCAGCTACCTGTCTTCCTCAGTGCTTGGGCTATTAGGCTAGTGCATTGGAGGGTGGTTCTGTGCTGCTTCCAGCTGTGGTGAAGAGCCTGCTCCAGAAGAGCCTTCCTGGAGAGAACTCCAGGCTATGCAATGCCAGGCTACAGAGGCCTGCTGCCTCTGTAGCCCCTGCCAAGGTGCCCCCATGGGCATTGGCCAGCTGCTGTGATCTGGTGCATGTCCGTGTGTGTGAGCACTCACTGCCTCCAAAGGAAGGAAGCAACGTAGATCCCAGGATGGAGTAAACCCTGTGCTGAGCTCTGGCTGGGAGCCTGGCAGGTGATCAGGGCCAAAGGGCTGCCAAGGAGCATTTCAACAGTGGGACAGGAACGGTGGCAGAGCTCCAATGTTGCAGCCCACTCTCTGGTGCTGCTTAATGCTGTGTATATGTATGCATGCATGTACATGTACATAAACAAGCATTTCCCCTGCCACACACTGTGACAAGGCTGTAGCCACCCAGCACAGAGAGTATAAGAAAATTGGGTGTTACACAATTTGCTTTAGGTGCTTACACCAATCATTTGTTTCCTTCCCCTGGTTTCAATATTTTTATTTATTAAATGTGTTTTTCCTACGTGGATATGTTTCTGTTTTGTTTACTATCAAGCCAGTAATTTGGGAACGAAACAAAAATTAATGCTTCATAAGGAGCCTAACTAAGATGATGGCGTGGATAAACAAATTGAACCCAGTGGTGTCAGGACAAGGGCTGTGCCCACAGGCAATGGAACATTTGCCACATACCCCTCTAAGGTCCCTTCAAATCGCCTGTCTCTCCTAAGGCGTCAAACAGCCTTGCTATAGATGGCTGCCCAGGACCAGGCATGTCTGTATGTTCCACCAGCCTGGCATCAGTTTGCCTGTCTCATACCAGCGTTCCTGGCAACTCCTTGATGCCCAGAAAATTCAAGCACAGCTCAGTACCTCTTAGACGTAAAATTGAAGGTGACATGCACAAGTCAATGCCAAACAGTTTGGAGGATGAATTAAGGAGCCTTAGGGAAGAAAGTGTAAACGAAAGCATTGTAGGTCTGGAAGGAATGCAGGGACAAGTCAGAAAGATGAAGGGAATCAGAGGAAAGAAAAATGTCAAGAGGAGGTAAAGGAGTACTGCAATGAGGATGGGTGCGTGTATTTTCCCAGAGAGTGAACTGCAAGTCATAGGGCCCTCTCCTAGTGGAATATAGGGCTGAAAGTTTAATTAGTGCTTTCTTCTGTCCCTTTTGATCTTTGCACAAAGCCTTTCTTCACACAAAGGACAGAGAGGTTACTGTGAGGCTGTGTGGCAGGGCAGCCAGTGTCCCTCGGTTCAGGCATTTCCCGTATTTCCCAGGATAAATGGAATGCCTCTCCCTGTTCTTCGTGCCTGTTCCTCGACCTCCAGAGGAAGGCATTCCCGGGACATTTCACTGCCTCAAACACCTCAGCCCGTGTAACAACAGTTTTCTCTGAGAAGCAGTTTGCTCTTGCCACCAGAGAAGTTGAGCCATTAGCCCGGGACCAGCCAACACCTCCTCCCCCGCCCCAGCTGGGCTTGAGCTTCGGTTTTCTGCCGCCTCCGTACTCCCGGCAGGAGGGGGGCGGCGAGGGGAGCCGGCGGCGGGAGCTGTGGGGCGGGCGCAGGCATCGGGAAGGGAGCGGGAACGTCACCCATTTGCCACAGGTGGCTTGCAGGGAGGTGAGAGGCCCCACGGATGGCATCCTCTCCTGCGCGCTGTTTGGCTCCCAACATTTTTTTTTTTAAAAATAAAAATTGAGCAAGTGTCCCGTTTCGTTTAACTACCTCAGCTCTAAGAAAATCGAATCCCTAAGGAACGGGGATTGCCCCAGAAATTATTCAAGGTAGCCTCTGCACCTGCGGGAGACACCGTAGCGGAGGCCAGCTCAGGGACACAGCTTTTGGCGGCTATTGCCAGCTCTTTAATTGATCGCCTAAGGCGAAAGGTGACCGACCCACTCGAGGGCACCTCTAGTTGAGGAAGGAGCCTGCTGACGAGCAGGAATTCCTTGACAAAATCTCGAGATTCGGAGAAGCTGAGAGAAATGCCAGCAGAACTTCCTGACATCTGCATCATCCGCCTTGAATAATTTCGCATTTGAGATGATGCTCCCGTAGGAGAAGACCACGTCATGAGGGAAGCATCGCCACCTTTATCCTGTGTGGGAGGCATAAAAATGTGTTTCTGGGACGATCAAAGCTATGAGGGAAAGGGGTATCGTGTTCTCACCACTTCTGTTCTTTGCTTGAATTAAACTCCGGAAAAGCAATAAATTACGAATAAATTACGAATAACTTACCCAGTCATGCGTCCTATTTTTTTCTTACAGGCGACATATCCTTGAAGGGATCACAGAGTTCTCAAATATATTTATTTTTGATCATGCGAAGAGATACTCCACAAAGCGCATTTTTATGCGACCTGTTAAAAAAAGAAAAGAAACCAAAACAAACCAAAAAACCCTAAAGCGATTTGCCCTGACCAGCAGCTTCCCTCCCAAAGAACCAGCTCCCAGAGCTGGTTTCAACACCCACCCTCACTTAATTGTCTGCCCCGGCAAATCATAATTCCTATGAGGTCTGAAAGCTTATTTATATTTAAAAGTTCTTTTCTGGGAACAGCCGTCCCAGTAGAAATTAAACAGCCGATGCTGGCGGATGGTACAGAAAGCAATTTTAAGGCATTCGTTGAAATTCCAGCACCTCTGCCCGCCATTCCCAAGTGACCTGCCCAGTGCACATCAATGCCAGCCGGTACTTCACGCCACATATGCGTGGGTGCATTGAGCTGCGGAAACGGAGTAGGCTCTGAACTGGAGGGTTTGGTTTGGTTTTCGTTTGGTTGGTTTTCGGGGGATTGTGGTGGGTTTGGTTTTGCCTTTTTTTTCTTTACTTTAAACAAAATTTTACTTAAATGAAAGGCACCTGCAATATCTGCGCTAACATTTTAGACCAAACACAAACGATACTCGAAACGCCGGATCCGGTATTTCCATCTCTTCGAATGATTTATCAGGCTTAAATCCCCCAGTACTCCCCTCCGCAGTGCCGAGAGGGACGGCGTAAGGGCCCAGCACGATTGCGGCCGCGGCCGGCGGGCCCGGGGGTGCGCGGGTCGGGAGGAGCGGCCGTCCCGCCCTCGGCAACACCTCGCAGTGCTCGGGACAGCTTTGCCACTTCGCTCAACTTCGAGGGAGGGACAGATGTTGTGGCAAAGTAGCTGATAGCTGGCTCGCATTTCCCAAGATATCTGGAGTAAAGATACCTGACATGAGGTGTTGGAGAACTGTGGGTGGAGGGGATATCGAGGGGTGCTCGGGCAGAGCCGGGAAGGCAAACTGCAAAGGCGCTTCGCCGGGCACAGGAACGTCCGCGCGCCTCCACTGCCGGAGCGGCCGAATTAGCGGACCCGACTGCTTAGGGAAGCGCTGAGCCGCCGATCCCGGCGGGAGGAGTCGGGGGGGGCGCGGCGGGGGAGGGACAGCAGCACCTGCCGGGCCTGGCGGCGAGGCTGCCCAGCCCCGTGTGCCCGCTCCCTCCTTCCCGCCCTCCCCGACCACCCTCGCCCGCCCCAGTGCTCATGCGCCCGCCGAGGTTTAAAGTGGGAGCCGCGGCTGCCGGCGGCGGTACCGCTCGGCGGAGGTGCGGGACAGCGAACAGGGCACGGCAGCCCGCGGTGCGGTGACCCGGCCGGCACGCTGCTCTCCGCTGCTCTCCGCTGCTCTCCGCTGCTCTCCGCTGCTCTCCGCTGCTCTCCGCTGCTCTCCGCTGCTCTCCTCGCCGCAGCTCTGCGCTGCCCGGCGGTGCGGGCGCGCCCCGCTGCCATGTGGCTCCCCCTGCTCCTCGGTGGGTATGGTGGGAAGCGGCTGGGGGCCGGTGGGGCGGGCGCGGAGCAGCGCCCCGACCCCTTCCCTGTCTGTTCGCAGGCTCCTTTCTGCTCTCCAGTCCTGTGCGCGGGAGCGACAGCTCAGGTGAGTTGGCCGCTCTCCCCTCTCCGCATCTCGTGGATGTTGTTTCTCCCTCGGACCGTCTCTGCTCGGCCGGGCCCGCCCCGGCGAGAGGTGGCGGCGCCCAGGGGGGCGCTTGGCCGCGGGTACCGGCCCGGCCCTTCCCGGCGCTCCCGGTTGCTGCTGCCTCTCGCCGCGGGGTGCGGGTGCTGCCGCGGAGGGGCCGCGGGTGCGGCCGCAGGGCAGGTTTGCGCGGAGCCGGCCGGGGGGAAGCTGCAGAGGGGCACGGAGGATGTCTGGGAACGCTTCCAGGCGAGGGTGAGAACACCTTCCTGGCACAAGGTGAAGCAGCGCCTTTATGACAAACGTTCCAATCGAGGAGAGTGCCGGTAGCAAGAGTGAGTGGGAGTGTGTTTTGTGTGTTATAAAGGCAGTCGTACAGTGTTTGGTAATTTGAGGATTTCTGGCGTATTTTAGACCATGGAATTTAATTAAAACCACTTTCAACCTGCCCTGCAATTATTCTGACCCGAAAAGCAAAAGAACATACTTAGGATGCCTAGGAGGGTACTGCAGGGGCTGCCTGTTGTACCATGCTCTATTGGACTGCCTCCCTGCTGCTGGAGAGCAGGCTCTCCTGGAGCCAGAATCAATCCATGGGAACCAGGAGCCATAGGAAGCAGTTGAAGAAATAATGTGGCAGAAGGACACGAGCAGTTTGTCTGCCCCTTCCCGTGGAGTCTTTCACCAAGGGAGGACAGGAGCTACCAGAAGAATGTGCTTCCAGATGCAGGCCTGGCAGACAGAAGGTGAGTGACCTCAAGCTTTTCTGAATGGTTGTTCGTGATTTCTCAGCTCTTAAGAAGCAGGATTTGCTGCTCATTTTGTGTTCAGTCAAAGATTTGGAAAATTCTTTTGTGCTAAACTGATAAAAGCTGCATGAGACAGGAGTGCTATGGCTAAAAAAGGGAAAAAATGCACAGCAATAGGAAACCTACTCCAACCCCAGTTCCTTTCCCTTTTTTGTTTTACAGGTGCATTATAGATGAAGTGCTGACAGTCTGGCAGGAGACAAATGAAAAGTTTTCTGTGATGCTTCCTCCAGGGTTGGAGAAGCCACTGTAACCTGAAGGTATCTGGAACCAGCTAAAATAGCATTAAGGGTATATTTTCAAAATGGAATATTGATACAAGACTATGCTATAAAATGTGAACAGTTTCTGTAAGATGTTATCTTTTACCATTATTCTGAGCCTAAATTCAGCAGCATTTGGTTATTGAACTAGAAGATTTGCAGGAACTTTTTATGAAAGTGCTTAAATTCTGTTGTTCGATAAGAACATTAATTTCCTCAAAAATCTACTGTATTTAGGCTCATAATGTTTGGGAAGATCTTTGAAAATCTTAAAACTTCCTTTATGCTCCCACTGGAGTGTATACAAATACTGCCAAGTTCAACAGTTGTGGTTACCATACATGAGACTCTGCAGGTGGGTGAACATTGGCATGTGATGGTAAGCAACCTTCCACTGATCAGAAAAGGGCAAGTCTCAGACTGAAATGAATGATATAGCCCTGACCAGATTTCTTTAAATTCCATTGCCCTTGTCCACATCAAGATAGGTAATTGAGATTGCATAAATTAGCATGTAATCTGTGAACATATTTTCTAAAATATAAACAAGTATAGGTTTACTAGTATGTCCATTTTTTTCAAGTATGGATAAGGTATGTGGGAGGATTGCTTGTGTAAGATAGAAAAAGCAGGCATGTTTGAACCCTCAAGATAAAAAGGGACCTAAAGTCTTCCTGTATTGAAAATAATACCAAATATTAAAAGGAATAGGAAGCATTATAGGGATGTACTTCTCTATTTTACAGCTCATAAAGCAATCTTACTTGTAGGAACCCCTGTTTTATATTTTGTAAGAATGTACATAGAATTTTTTTACTTTGCATAAACAAACTCTATTTTCCCAAAGCAATGCATGGAAACTTGAAGATTAGAGAAGCTCAGATTTTGGCTATGGATTTTATTTTTCTAGAATAATTTAATGCAATGACTTGTGTCAAAAATTAAGTGAGAACTTTCATAGATTGACATAAGCAGCAGCTATTCACAGCAAAATGTGAAGAGGCATCAAAAAGATGGAAACTGACGGAATGATTGAAAACTGGTTGTTTGAGGAGAGAAGTGAGTCTTTGCTTTTTTTTTTCCCTTTTTTTAGGTCAACAATGATGGAAGACATTCATCCCTACCTTTAAATATGGCTTAAATCAGGAAGAATTACAGTTTCTTTTCTCTGTACTTTGTTTTTATAGGATACCCTGGTGTAGTGTGTTTCTGTGAAGCTTGACGGGTGTGTGTCTTAACAGGATTGGATGATGGCCAATTTATTATGGTTCTGAAGGCCTAATTTTCTGTCACAGAGCATAGGTCTCTAGTCCTCAACAGAGTCCAGAATGGGTAGGAGTCTAGGACTGAATCCTTTAAGGGACATAAGTTACACAAATTGCAAGCTTATATTTCCTTCTTCCAAAAATACTTGGATTTAGAGTATTGCATCACATAAGCATCCAGAGAAATGCCTCCACTGCTACTGCTGAAATTTTTAAATTCCAGTGATTAAAACACGTGGGTTTTATCTCAGTTACTTTATATATATACATAAATAATCTCTTTGACAGTTTCTGCCATGTTGAAGTATATTGGATAGATTAAAAAACAACCACCTTCTCCAATTTTAATAGTAATATCACATATGAAATTTGTGAGAGTGATTAGTATGTAAGCTGGCAAAGAACTATTTTATATTTTCTAGTATTCAGATTTCGTTAATACATTTCCCTGTTTGCGATGGAATGCTTGTGGTTTTATGGGTTGAGTGGTTGATGGTGCATTAACAAAAAGGAAAGAAATTCACTGCAGAGCTGATATAGTAAGTCTTAATTGTGGTAGTAAAAAAAAATGGCTTTCACTTTGATACTGCACTTAACATTTCTAATGTTAGTCTCAGTTACAGAGTTATGGCTTATAGAAAACTGTACCTACCTACACAGAAAACCAAAATTGTTGCTTTTGGATTAACAATGTTATGTGCTTCAAAGTGTGTGTTTTTACCTCTGTGCTGATCCAACTGATGTATAGACTGCTAAAACCCCTAGCTACGGTGTGTCAGCTCTTCAGTTTGCACAGCAGCCTGCTTCGCATGCGTAGACAAGGATGGTGACACCCTTTAGGCTGCCAGTGCATTAAAATCCCGTGGCTGGGCTACCATGGATTTCTGTGTTTTCATTGCCAGGTAAAACACAGAAAGATTATTTTTTTCCCCTTCGTCTCCTGTGCTATGCAAAATATTAGTCTTCCACATGATAGTAATTAGTAAGTACTTGGTGATGAGGGAAATACAGATCTCCAAGTGATAAGGTGTTTGTTAACTAGACATGTCTAAGTACTGTCTTTGTGTGCACAGCCGACCAAGGAATTCAGTCAAGTACAGTACGTTAGAAACTACAGGAATTAAAACTTCCTGGGGAGTCTTGCACTTTTAGAGGCTGGAAAAATGTTGCAGGGTGCGTGGCACAAGCAAAGTTGTGAAAGCAGAGAGTACCAGTGGTGCTCATTGCAGGAACTTCTCCAAGGATTTCCAGCCTTACAGCTGCTGTTTAATTCTGGTGCTCTTGCTAGTTGTCATTTGGTGGATATCACTTGATCAGTGCCCAGTAATTACCAAAAACACTCGTGGAACTTTCATGGAAGGATTAGGGGACTTAAAACAGCAAAACAAATCTACTTCTTTTAGCATAACACCGATAATATAGCACTTGTAACAATGAAAATATGGAGCTTCTAGGTATAAACAGTGGTGATTCTGCTTGATTTTTCTGTCTTTTGTTTTTAAGGCAAATGTATAAGATTGAGCACAGAGAGGATGTAGGTAGGTAAGACTAAGTCCTAAAAGAAACTTCTTTATTTCTTAGAATACTTGAGAAGCAGATTAAATCACTTTACAGTGTCTAGCTAGGTAGACAACTCTTATCTTGAGAAGGGAAAAATAAAGAAGTGCTTACTGCTTTCTTTTTTTTCTTATTCTGGACTATCTAGACAGATTTAGCATATATAAGTCCCATCTTTGTGCTAACAGATAGCAGCACAGATTTTTCAGGAAGATGTGATTAGGTAGTTTTTCAGGAAGATGTGATTAGGTAGTTTTTCAGGAAGATGTGATTAGGTAGTTTTTCAGGAAGATGTGATTAGGTAGTTTTTCATGAAGATGTGATTAGGTAGTTTTTCAGGAAGATGTGATTAGGTAGTTTTTCAGGAAGATGTGATTAGGTAGTTTAAAATAGTTTCAGTATAGCATTAATGGGAATTATATATATTTAGTAGTAGAACTACATGCATGGTTGATGAACGTAGGTATTTGTTTATGCAGCCAGAATAAACAGACATACTTCCCTGTACGTCTCTGACTGCAACTGCTCTGCTTTTCAGTTCCAAAGTCAGTGAGATTAGCAGGAGGTGTGATCTTTTCCATCCCCGATGAAGAACAGTGTGTGTTCCAAATACTTTCAAATACAAGCAGCATATGTTGGTGTCAGTAAACACCCTAGGGTAAGAGTGAAAACAATGGGCAGGGAAGCGGGTAAGAGACATATCGCTGATCCCTGAAACATGCTCTCCTTGGGATATAATGCTATGGTGTATGCATTGATACACTGGCCAGCCTCTGTCAGCTTTCATCATAATATTGTGAAACAGTAATATCCCAAATGCATACAGAAAAGGTTCTTGCACCTTCTAGTACTCAGCAAGGGCAAGATGTGTCCTTAGGAAGTTCAGAATAAACAGCCAGTCACGGGTTGGACTTATGATGCTGAATTGGTATTGATCTAACCCTAATTTGCTGTGCTACCAGACCAACTGAATGTTCTGTCTTGTGTACTAAAAGGCTGGTAGTAACTCTCCAAGATAAAAGACCTCTATGTTTTCAAAGTGAAAAGCATGTTTGTCAAGCAAAATTGTATACTGATATAAATCTGTGTCTGCACACCTACACTGCACATAGGCAAGAGCAGTGAAAGCTTAATGATGATAACCTGAGGAGCAACTTCTAAGAAAAAAAGGCAGAGTTCTGTTTAAAAAAAAAAAAAAATTCATGTGCCTCAGCTGAATAAATAACTTTTGTCTCACTGTGTGATTCTGAGAGTCCTTTGCACAACAATTAAGATGTAAACTTCATTGTAATGAATTGATATCAATGTTCTAGATGTTACTGTACTACTGGAGCAAGAAGATGGGTATTCCTTTTTTTTTTTCTTTTTCCCCTGCACTGGCCTCGGTTGGATTTATTGCAGAAGCTAAGGGAAATGCTGAATACTGCTGTCAGCCTGCTTCATGAATACCACTAAAGAGAAGATTCAGAATTTCCTAAGTGATTCATAGATGTCTTACGGCTGGAGATTACTGTGGGGATGTCAGAATAATTTAATTTCTCCCACGGAGAGTGCCACCCATGTCAGTGGTCCACCAGCCTTCCAAGGTCTTCTTGTCCTTCTATTTCTGTAGTAAACTTATAAATGTGAATTGGTTTTCCTCATGTAATATTCCTTGAATGTTATTTTAATGTTGTTTGCTCATGGTTGTTTTTGGTTTTTTTACTCTTCCCAGCTTTTCCTGCCACTTCTTTCCCATAAATAATAAAGTGTGTTCTTCCTTGTCATAACTGCACATTTGTAAGCTCCAAAGACATCTTTACAGGCATTGTACCTAATTTCAAATTCAAACATTGCTTTAAGCTTGGAAACTGTAGAGAGGTTTGAAAAAGAAATCCCAACAAAAAACCCTTAGATTTTTTCAGGTCAAAAGTTGTTCTTTTCTCTTTAGCTGCCACTGCTATCACGTGCTTTACAAGAGGACTTGACCTTAGAAAGGGGACAGAAGATGTCCTTTGCCCAGCAAACTGTCCTCTGTGGCAATTTTATGTCTTTGGGGATGGAATTTATGCTTCTCTCTCCAGTATCTGTGGAGCTGCCATACACAGGTAAGTCAAATGATTGCTAATCAATGTGTTAAGTGAATTTATATAGTCTGTAGTCTTGCTGTGCTTTTAAATCTTAATCTTTTGATGCCATCATAATAAAGATCTCTCTAGGCTTTGTGAATCCTGTTAACAAGAGTGTCATTAGGAGAAAAGAGAACAAGATAAAGAATGTCTGGACAGTTTGCAAGTTATCTGAATCGTGTTTAAGTGCTCTTGAAAACCACTTTGACTTTCTTTAAAATGGTACAGCAGCAGATTGACTTTCACTATAAAATTATTTGTGTCACTAGTAGATATGGAAGAATACAGTGTAAATAGTAACTAATTAGAGAATAAAAGCAGATTTCTGACTTTCTTAAAAGCTTAAGTCAACTGTTTGAAAGAAATGGAGGAATGATTTCAGTCTCCGGGGCTTTTATCCTCAAGAAACAGAAAGAAACTATTTCAGAATATATCGATGTGCTGCTGAAGCTATCACTATTTTTATTTAAAAAACCCTACAACTATGGACTTAAATTTTTACAAAGAAATTAATTACTAGAAGATAAAGGAGGAAAATAACGGGGTTTTGGAGTTATTATTAATTGTTCGATACTTTAAATGCCATAAAAATATGCTAAGCATTTTAAATAATATTTAGGGTGCTGTCATTACTATCCAGAATCTCATTTAAAGTATCAATTAAAATTCTATAACTTTTAATAAGACTTACAAAATTCAGGCTACTTGTATAGTATTTAAACTCCAAACTAAAATGAACTTCTTTTTAAAAAAAAAATTGATTTAAGGAGGGGGTTTGAGTACAAACTGTCTGGAATTTCTCAAATGCTGTAAAGGAGACTAAGAGCTAAGGTACTACCAGAGGAGCCAGAGAGAGCTTAGAAGGTATTGTGGGGGTCTGTGTATTTGTTTTTTAAAGCTTTAGAGTTTGTATCAAATATAATTACATGTCTCCATGTGTATTTTATTGCTGGACAGGCTTCCTTTTGATGCTTCTGTAAAAAGAAAGAAAGCCTCAATTAAGTGTGCTTTAAGCGTCTGCATGAGTGTTTAAAAAAATTAAGCTCTGGTATTTCACTTTTCCTTGTTTAGGTATATAGAAAAAGTTTGTGAAAGAATGTCTGGATCAAATGCGAGTTGTGCTTTTTGTTTGTTTTTGTTGGGGTGTTTTGTTTGTTTGTTTTTTAAATGAGGAAAACTGAGATTTCTTTCCATGGTCAGTTTTTCTAAGACTGTGTTTGTATTTTGTGATGTAGCCATTTATTTTAACATTCCGTTTCATTACTGATTGCCAAAGAAGTCTTTACTTAAAGAGAAAAAAGCTCTTGCTGTCAAGACTTTTTCTACAGAAATTAAAGACTTGAACAGTTTGAAAAGACAAGAAGTTTCTAACCAGTTCAACTAGGCAGCGTTCTTGAACCTCCCATGCCAGTGGTGTCTGTGACTGTTAGAGAAATCCCACCACGAAAGCTGCTGGGACTTGGTTCCATCACAGCTGGGGAATACTTTACAAAAGGAAAAACCAATATTTTTCCATAGTAAGAATCCATATAAATTGTACTACTTGTGAGATATGTAGCCCTGTTTGTAAATCCCGAATCTAACAGTCTGTCTCCATAGACATTGTGAGAATAATGAGGGCTCTAATAGCAACAAAGAGACTAAAATATACTCACCTTTCTAATCTATGTCTTCCAGAATTGATGTAAATTAACATTGTTCAAGCCTTCTGAATATGATAGACTGCAGTAAAGTGTTTTGAAAAAGCAGAATAAAGGAGGACTGCTGTTTTTTGAAGACAGCCTCAAACTTAAAGGCAACTAATCCTTTTGGCCTTTCATACTCAGAATAGAATTTGCTACATGAGACCATTTTGTTGTCTTTGCTGCAGCTGTTAGCAGCCATAAATACTGGCCCTGGTAAAAAAGGACTGATGAATGGAGGACAGGCAATAGCTGTTTAGTTCTCAGCTAATTACAGTGCAGGCTACAAAACCGAACAAAAACCTTCTTGCTCTGTCTTGCAATGCAAGTGTGAAAGTAACTTTTCAAGAAGATATTCCTAACAGGTAATCACCTTAGTTTGCTGTTATTGTGATGTAAGAAGATGTGTGCTTTGAGAATTTTGTAAATTTCTTCCAAATAACCGAAATAACCACACCTAGTTTAAAACTAAGTATGCTCTCCATTTCATTGCATGGTGAGTGCAGCATAGCTCTGTACCTTTCAGCACCATTGAGTACTAGCCCTGTGCCACCTACAGTGCCTGCTGTTGTCTAAGGGAAAGCAGTCAGACAACTACTCACCATTTCAAGAAGCATCAGTCTTGGGAGCAGTGCTTTTGGTTGGTTGGTTGGGGTTTTTTAACTGAAAATGATTGTATGAGCATGAGTCTGTTCCACATACACTTCAGTTTGCATGCTGGGTCCATACTGAGGCTGGATCCCTTAATTTTACATAAATCAAGTAATGCTTATTCCTATGAGTAGTTCCATTACTGAGAGGCAGTTATTAACACAAGAAAATACTATATAATGCATGAAAAGAATTTAGCAGAATTCAGCTACAAATAATTCTGTGTGCTAGAGATGAATGAGCTTTCTGCCTGTTTTAGTTTGTTATATTTGGCTTTTTCTCTCATCTTATGTGTAATTACTCTCAGGAAACAGAATATTTGTTTAATATTGTCCTTTTTCTGGGCAGAAGAATAAAACATTTTGTCAAGGGAAGAATGGAGAACCTCCTACCAGGCTCATGCTATGTAGGCATGAAGTTAAATCTACCACTGAGTGATTAATTGGATTAATAATCAGAAGGTCAAATGAAGGACTAGGTTCTCAGCTTGTGTAGTTCTGTTCTAGTGCCAGTTCATCTAAATGGAAACCTAGCCCAATGTAATAGTATTTAGATGTTAAATAGGCATGTGAGGTTTTTTTTTTTCATGACCTTCCTAACTAGTCACAGGGTGAAACCATTTCTAATTAAGCATCGAGGTCCCAGAACTCAAGTCTAACAAAAGCATATCATGGTATTACCAAGCTGGTCACAAAGTGCCCTTAGACATGAATGGCACCTGAGCTGCCCTAGTGTTTGCTAGAAGAATATTGACAAAAATATTGTCTTCCCAGAGGGATTTCTGAGCAGCTGTAGATTCCCTGGGAAACTTTGGTATAGAGCCTGCTTCTGCTGCTTAACTTCTTTTTGCCAAAAGCAATAGGGTTGCAGAGAAAACAGAAGGAAAAGAATCTAGGGGGCTGGAGGAAATGCTGAGCAATTGCGTATTAGTGATTGATGGCAATCAGGCAGCAGCAGGAGACTGCAGTTTGGAGAAGAGAAGGATGCTTCTTGGAGTGATTAAGAAAGGCAGATTATGTGGAAGGAGTTGGCAGATGATAATAGTAGAAAGGAAAAATGGGAATTCAGCTACTTGAGTTGCCTTGTCTAAAGTCCCAGAGGATAAACGGACTGCAGACACCTCTGTAAGGCTCATCTCCCATGGCTATCTCTTTGTGGTCTAGGCATCAGTTTTGATGTGCAGACTACATGAAAAATGCATTCAAAATTCAGCAAAGCCCTGTATCTCTTTCTCTGAGAGTGCAAATGAACAGTTCTTGCACTTTATTTTGAGGAAGTGCATGAGGCTCATAAAAAGCTTCAGTTTCATCTGGTGATTTACCTCAATTCAATTCAGATTTTTAAGTATGTTTTGGCTGAAATTCCTGTATTTCATTAGACCTTTCCATACGTTCTGCTGCCCTTGGCCAGTATACTTTCTTTCATGAGCTACTGTGCAGTGAGGTACTGGATTGCTGCTTTGTGTGTCTGTTTTTCTGTTTAATTTGTGTCCATTTTTGAGTGAAAAATACTGCTTAGGTATAAATTGTGATTTGTTATTAACAATGAAGCTAGCCAAGAGAACAGACTGCAGCTTTTATATAAAATTGCTGTCAAGCAGCACTGGTAGTAACATGAAACATAGTGAGTAAGGAAGTGAAAGCTTCCTGGACAATCTGCAGATTCCCGTTTAATAAAAACAGCCATGGCACGCAAGTCAATCACACAGCGGCAAAGCACAACAGCAAAACTCAAAGCAGATTATAATGACATAAGTCATTCTGAGGAAAGGCATGGGCACTTCTTCACTCTAAAAACCACTGCAGATCTACACAGGGTTGATATCACTTTTAAAGTCAATCATAAATGATTGCAGAAGGGAATTTGCTGATCTGATTCAGAATGCAAAGGTAGGCTGACAATATATGATTTATTCCACATCAGCATATAAGTATGCATTTTGAGTAGACTTGCTTGAAGAAGCAGCCCAGGTAAAACTGATGAGATTGTAAAGGGTGGATTAAACTGTTAACTCACCTACAGAACAAAGTGGCAAGAAAGGAGGAATAACTTCCATAAAGCTACAGTTCATGTTATATTTACTTCTAATATCAGCCCCCACTTGAATTAAAAATAGCAGAGCTGTCGTATGGAAATATTGTATCTTCAGAAGATAGTATAGAACTTTGACCTGTGTTTAAATACAGAATCAAATGTTTTCAACAAATAGATAAGGAGCAAATAAATCTACTCCAGTTTCAGTGTGAAGCTTCCAAATTCAATGGAGACTAGGTAGATAATTATTTTTCTCCGGAATTACTAATTATATTTAATTACTTAATTGGGGGAATTAAAATGTAAAGACCAATAGACAAAATGGAACAATATAGACAACATTGCATAAGATGCAATAAAATAAGCTGAAAACATTGTTTCCAGAATAATTTTTAGGTTGAGCTTTCAGACTGAACATTTTCTTGAGTTCAATTCAGCCACTGCTCAAAGTTGTGAGTCCACAACAAAAGAAGTGGGAAGAGATACTAAATTCTTCTTAAGAGCTAACTTGGGCATAGATCAGGTTTGCTGATGTAAGCCTAAAGTAGCTTCACTAAAATTGTAAGTACAAACTTAAACTAGAAACTGTTCCAATTAAACACATATTCTCTATTTTTGACACCTTTCCTTATCCATTAAGACTGAGACACTAGTGAAGGCTTGAATGCCAAAAAGAATCAGGCACTGGAGAAGAAAATTACGTTCTAATTAGACTGAAATATTCTAAATACATTTATATGTTATTTTCCTTAAAGATGATTTCAACTTACTGAATTTTCCTGTCATTTAAAACTAACCAGTTAAAAGCTCTGGTCTGATTTTTCACTCACTTTTGTTTTAAAGAACTATAAAGTGCTGTTTGTATTTGCCAACTTTATAATCTGATTTTAAACTCATTCAGGGTAACTTTACTAAAGCTCCTTTGTCTCCATATTCTACACAGTATTCCTGGATAAGAAAATATCTGTATAGTTTGAAACTGTTTAATTCTTGTAGCTTGGAAGATTATGATAATAGATATAACCACAGCTGCATTTAGAAATACAAGTCACATCCATGAAGGAGGAATGTCTTTTAACAGCAATCCACATAGAGCTTTGATGTGGAAATTGCCTTTGCCACAGATACCCAAAGCTCATATTACCAGAAACATATGCAAAGTTTTCTAAACTGTAGTCTTGATTATTCTTCTTCTACAATGTTTTAAATCAGATTAGGTCAGGACCTCTTTTCAAGCAGAAAGCCAAACAAAATTGAAAAGTAAATACAAAGGAGCACATTGCTGTGCTAAATAGTCTTGAAATTACTACTTGTCTCCCACAGCACTGTACCTGCCCAAGTACTGCAAAGTATCAAGCTTTTATGTCCTCTTAGAGAAGCTCAGCCTTGACCTCTGGCCTCTAAAAATAATAAATATTCTTTCAGTATCACATAAAAAGAGATCTGAACTGTTCAGAATTTCACTTAGGAATTGATATGAAACATCACTCTTCTGCATTAGTCTAAACACTGCCAGAATTTTGGGCTTTCCTGATCTTTTTTTTTTTTTAATAAGTCTGTGTGATGCTGTGTAGAATAGCCTTTTTTAAGGTCTTTTCAGCAAGTTGCAGCTTGTTTTAGCCTAAACACAACTGCCTGCATATATGGCATCTTTTTCAGGAGGCTGGTGTAAAATATACTAATGATGGTACAACTGTATTGCATTTTCTTGTGATTAAAATGTCTGATTCATAAAAACTCTTTTTGTATCTCAGGGGTGTGATCACCAATGCAGGAGGAGCTGTAAGGGTAAAGACTCTCCCAGGACAGGACAACTACCCTGCTGTAAATGCCAACGGGATCCAGTCTCAGGTGCTCTCTAGATGGGCTTCATCTTTCTCAGTGACTCGTAGGTGGATCACACTTATTATTCTGCAAACTGTATTTGAAATGTTGATAGAACTGTAGGAACCTTCTTCAGTGCTCCATGCATAAATAAATGTGATTGCTATCTGATGTGTAGTAATAGTATTTTTAACTTCTAATTAATTATTTTACCTTCATTTTTCTGGTTTCCTAAAGAAAAACCATTCCAGCTAGACTAGCTAGTCTGTAGCAGAAGTTGATACATAAAAATGCATCCGTTATTTAGAATGTAATGACTTGATAGCAGGCAGTTGACAGTTCCATGACAATTTAAGCCAGTCAAAGTCCGTGCTTTGATCCTGACTTTGCAGTCTGGTCCTCCTACCACTTCAGGCCATATAGTGTTATCCCTTCTCTCACTCTGCCTGCATTTGTGCAGGCAGTAGCACTTGTCAGACCCTTCAAAGACCTTGTACAGCATTCCCTGCAAAAAGAACACTGACCCTCCAAAAAATATCAATTATGTCAACTTACATGCGATGTGCGGTCATTAAGCTACAGTGTGACATAGTGGCTTTTTTTCCAGAACTTTTTGTCACATAGTTGAGATAGTGTCCCCAGCTGCAAAGCTGTTGTCATGCCTTGCCACTCAGGTGAGGCTAAATCACCCTCATAAAATCATATGCAGAAGCATATTGGTTGTATATGTTGTGGTTTCAAAAATATTAAAGCATATGTGTTTTCTGGTATATTCTTTCAAAGTTTGTGAAACAGATCTCTCTAATGTGTTCTTATTGTTTACACAGCTAAGATTTAACCTACTATCTCTAAGATACTAGTAATCCTTAGTTGGTGCCCACAGCAAGTTAATAGCTAAGAACTTGGAATCACAGGTGCTTTTGGTGAGGGTGAAAGTTTTCAGTTCTCCAGATCAAGTCCTGACTTCATCTGCTAGAAATAAAGAAATAATGGCTTCTACAGCTCAAAATCTCTCATCAAATAAGTATGCTGTAATCATGCATCAGCTGCTGTTGCTTCAAATGCGGAAATTAATTACCTGTAAAACAAAGAGTGCAATACTGGATTACACCGAAGGTTTGTCTAGACTCATATTCTACTCCCAGAGTAGCTAATGGCAGATGATGAAGAAAGATTATTGGAAATAGTGTTCTTCAAACATCACCTAAATACACTAAAATACTGTAAATGTATTCTTATTTTAGCAGCTACCAAGGACACAGCACTTGAAGCAGTTGGACGATCGGTATCAACAGCACGTCCTTCTACAGGTATGAGGTCTCCACAATAAGGGAAGCATCTTGTGATATGATGTGCTTCAGAGTGTGAATCCCTGGCTAAAATTACATGTTTCATATGATTAATTTATTTTTAAAGAAGAAAACATACAATATCTGGTTTTGCAGCATATCTTTCATCAGAAAAAAGAAGAATCATGTAATCTTGGAGATTGATTATGATTTCAGTAGTGTTCATGTAAATTAAAAACAAAACTTGAATGAATTTGAAAAAGTAATACAGATAAAGAAAGGTAAGAGTTCATGAGCTAATGGGATATTTGTTCTTTTTAAGTAACAGAGAAGAAAAAGGTAAAGCATTTGTTCTTACAGAACTGCTCAACAGCTGAGAGCTGTGTAGCAAAAATTTAGTTGTTATGTGAATTTCACCACAGAAAATGCTGCGTTAAAAGGCTAGATCAATTTTTATGAAGGTTAGTGCTATATAAATACTGGATTTGGATGTTGTTTGTGAATAGACCGTTTGTTTTACAGTTTAATTCATAGTTTGCTTCCAAACTATTAATACTGTGCATTGTACAGCAAAATTGCTAACTGAGAAATAGTAGCATTTAGGACGGTGAGATACAGAAATCCACCCATCTTTGTATGATTCAGTAATCAGTCAGGCAGGTGTAGAAAGGAAGGTTAAACTGTTTCATTTGGAAAAGAATATTCTCCAGGAAGCAAAGCAGTACTAGTGCAATTTTAATAATTAAACTGATTGACAGTCCTACTGTGGATAGTTTGCATTGTAATTTTTGGAGTCTGAGCTTTTTCTGGTTTATTTCGGTCCGTTCATCATCTTGTTCTTAAATGACCCATGCTCTTTTCTTCACTGAAGGTAAAAGACCTAAGAAGACTCTTGATAAAAAAGCTGGAAACAAAGGTAAGAATACACAGATTTACCTTTTGCAAAGAAAAATCCTAATATTTACTTGGTGTTAATAAGTCCAATTATTTTGGATGTTCACAGACTGTAGAGCTGATATTGCATTTCTCATCGATGGAAGTTACAACATTGGCCAACGTAGGTTTAATCTGCAGAAGAACTTTGTTGGAAAAGTAGCTGTAATGTTGGGAATTGGAATAGAAGGGCCTCATGTTGGAGTCGTACAGGCCAGGTAACGACAGATCTACACAAAATACAACCACGTCACTGGTTAGAGAAATCAATTAATATATCACTTCCTATTTTGCAGAACAATATCACTCCATAATGGTTGATGAATAACAAGAGAAAGCAAACTCTTTTGAGCTGTAGCACTGTTTGCTCTGTGCTACACTGAGATGTCCATGTGAGGGGACATGACAAATTTGAACATTTTCTGTCTCTATGATATTTGGTATTTGGATAGAGGGAACAGCTGGACTTCTCACAGCCCCCTTGGCTGCTGACAGCTTTGTAGCTCATCTTAGTAGAACAGCAGGAAACACCCTGCAAAGGAGAGAGATGGTTCTTTTTAAAACTGTAGAGAGAGAGAATTGTCACAAACGGCTATGTACATGTACAAAACAAAAAACTGATCTTGCCAACCTGTAGGTTACTACAGCTAATATTTTCAAATTTTAACTGGTCTCTTGCTTATTTAAAGACAGTTCATCGAATCTTTTAGGTTGGAAAAGACCCTTAAGATCATCTAGTATAACCGTACTATGTATGTTCACAGAGTGTAGTCTAAAAGCCACTGGAACATCCAGCATGTTAGCAGAAGGTTTTTTTGAGCCATAGCTTAGTTTGCTAATGACCAGCAATTGCAGTTTTCCAAGGTTTAACCACTTTGGCTATGGCATCTGGAAAAAAGGAAGCATAAAGAACCCACTTATTATCAAAATTAACTCACTTATTCCAAGAAAATGAAGCATCTGCTAGATTAGCACAGGATTTCTCTATCACATCTTTCTTTCATCATTAAAGTCTGTTCCTCTCCCTGCCTTTAGGCAACTGCAGAGTAGATAGATACCTGAGTCTGATTTAGTTAGCTAGGCTTGCTGTTGCAGTCACTAGAAAGAAAGGCCACATTTGTGGCACAAACCATCTGAACTGCTTTGCATGCCTCTTTTAGGATGTGATGAATTGCATCCTGAAAAATCCAGTTTCTGTCCATCAAAAGCTAGGGGAAATGAATTCCACTCTTGCTGTCCTGAGTTTATATACTATAAGGTGAGGACCAATTAATGGAGAAAGTAAACAGTTTAGCACCTTGAACATTCAACTCTTCATTAGAAATTAATCTTACAAACAATAATCTTTATAGCTCAAAATGTACCATTTTAACAGTTATTCTGCTTGGCACAAGGGTTCATTCTAGTGATTGTGATGCAGAATTGAGCCATTTACTCATAGCAACAGCTCTTTGGCTTGCAGGTGTTTATCAGTCTGCCCTTCACTTGGCAAAAATAACTTAATTTCTTTTTGTTTTCTACTGTAAATCAAAAGTGAAATCTGGAAACAGCGTAGTTAAAATCTTTCATTTCTTACATGGAGTCAGTAGCTAGCGTAACTTAAAACTTCTCAAATAACTCAAACTGCATTGTGCAGATATTTTTTAAAGAAGTTATTTCTCATACAAATAGTAGAAACTCTGCTGATTTTTAATTACACAGGTGCGTTTACTTTAACGTCTAGCAGGTTCATTTTTTTTCTTTATATGTTTTCAACCAAGTGTTTTCAGCTGTTTGATAAACATAAGAATCAGACTGTTCTTAATTTACCCATTTAGGTAGATAATTCCTCTTGCTAATGATTGTGAGATTTACTAAGCAAGGAGTATACTTCTATTTTAAAATACAGAGAATAATATATATTACCAAGAGTAAAATTATTCAAAGTGTGATTTAGCTTGCTAATGCCATACCAATATGAAAAGTGAACTGCAAACCTTATTACTCTATTTTATTTTTACACAGTGAATATCCAAAAATTGAATTCTATCTGAAAAACTTCACTGCTGCAAAAGAAGTTTTATTTGCCATAAAGGAACTGGGGTTCAGAGGAGGCAATTCCAACACAGGTGAGTTCATACTTCCACTGAAATAGAAATTATTGCTTTACATATTTTTATATATGTCCATTTGTTTGTGTATATTGACGTTTGTATAATTCAGATAGGTAAGAAAGTGTTTTAGATGCCACACTTATCTTAATTAGGTTCAGTGTTTTTCCACTAGAATGTGGCCACATCTTACATTTCATTTTCAGAAGTTAGGGCTGCTTATTACACATTTTATTGGAGTAGAAGTGTAAATATTTCTTCCTCTGTTTAAACAGTAGTTGACGTTTGACTAGTAACAGAGTGACATCTTGAGACAAATTCATAAAAGGCTTAGTGTTTCTTTCTTGTTGGGTGGCTAATTAAAGAGTTAGAATAAACACAGAGTAAGTAGTAAGTGATTGTGAAGAGCAGCCAGCAACCAAGCACCACACAGCCACTGGTGGTGGGAGAGAGAACTGGAAAGATAAAAGTGAGAAAATTCACGGATTGAGATAAAGACAATTTAGTAGGGAAAGCAAAAGCCACTCACACAACCAAAGCAAAACAAGGAGTCAATTCACCATGTCCCATGGGCTGGTAGGTGTTCAGCCATCCCTAGAAAAGCAGGGCTTCAGCACACATAACAGTTCTTGTCACCACTCTGAATGTCCCCCCACCTTTATTCTTATTCCTCCAGCTTTATATGCTGAACATGACACCATATGATATGGAAATACCCCTGTGGTCAGTTGGGGTCAATTGTCCCAAACGTGTCTCCCTTGTGCACCTTTTCTCTAACGGGGTGGTACAAGAAGCAGAAAAGGCCTTGGTACTGTGCAAGAGCTGCTCAGCAACAACAAAAACATCCCTGTATTATCAACACTGTTTTCCACAGAAATCCAAAACGCAGTCCCCTAGTAGCTACCTTGAAGAGAATTAATTATCCCAGCCAAAACCAGCCAAATGAGGAAACTGAGCTCCAAGTACCTTGTAGTACAGGAGCTACCTAAATTCAGCTTGTGAAGTGTCTTCCTTCCAATTCACTTGGCAGGCACCAGTATATCTACTTCCTAGTACAAAACTAGACCCACGGGCAAAAAAAAAAAGTCAGTGAATTCTTCCTTAGCTTTATCTGTGTTTTTTGTTGGATTTTGTTGTGGTGTTTTTTAGTTGGGTGTTTGTTGGTTTTTTTGTTTGTTGGGGTTTTTTTGGCTGGGGCTGTTGGTTTGGAGCAGTTGGTTTTTAGCTTAGAGGTTGCTGAAGCTTCATTTTTATCAAATTTCCAGGGACACCATTTCAATACTACACTGGGTTAAACCTGTAATCATAGCATAAATCCAGCACAATTTCAGACAGGAAACTGGTACTGAAACATACCATCATTGTATGTGTTATTTCTTCATATTCTTTTTCTGTTCAAAACAAGGAAAAGCTTTGAAGCACACAGCTCAGAAATTCTTCTCTTTGGAAAATGGAGCACGGAAAGGAATTCCCAAGATCATTGTAGTGTTTCTAGATGGCTGGCCCTCAGATGATTTAGAAGAAGCCGGCATAGTGGCCAGAGAATTTGGAGTCAACGTATTCATTGTATCTGTAGCAAAACCCACAACAGAGGAGCTGGGAATGGTACAAGACACTGGTTTTGTTGACAAAGTAAGAAAAAAAAAATTATTTGTTTTTCAGTTGTGAATATAATTCTGGAGAATGTACTTTACACTAAAATTCTAATTAACTAATATATGTATATATAATAACTTATATAGATATAAAAATATTCTCTCAAACCATCCAATGAAATTCTCTCTGCTTGTAAGTGATTTAAAAGAATAACACTAGGAAGGTTAAAGAAACACTGGGGGGTTTTTTTCTGCTAAAGGGTCCACACAAAGGTATCACTGTCCTCCCAGTTCAGAGCCTTGGCCAATTTGCAGTTCCTGGACTTTGTATTTGCATGAAGACTCTCAGTGCAGGAAATTCCCCTATCTCAGGTATGATTAAATGTGCCAAAGCAATGAAATGCTGATACAATATATTCCCTTTCCTGAAATGGCAGACAGAGGCCTATCTTCCTGTACCTGCTCTATGGATAATTATTTACTTACTTCCACTACAAAGAGGACAGAAAATATGGAAAAACATATCCTAGCAAGTTTATGTACAAGACTTTCATCTTGGATGCAGTTTTGGATCTTGTTCTGTTTGAATTCAAACACTGATCACCTACTCTCACATCAGCTTTCTGATTACTAGGTCTTTACTTACTCTGCAGTGAGAAACCCACTCATTTTCCACAAGGAGGTCTTAGATGTCTCATTTCAGCAGAAATGGCATGAACAAAATGAAGCACTACAGCTCTGCTTCTTCTAGGTGTAGGAGACCTAGCTGCTCATCCCAGAGGTACTGCAGGCAGGTCCAACCCTTATGTACTTATAGAAGCATCATAGAATGGTTTGGGTTGGAAAGGACCTTAAAGATCATGCAGTCCTCACTCCCTTGCCATGGGCAGGGATGCCATCCACTAGACCAGTTAGCTCAGGCTTGGCCTTGAACATTTCCAGGAATGGGGCATCCGCAACTACTCTGGGCAAACTGTTCCAGTGCCTCACCACTCTCACAGTAAAGAATGTCTTCTTAATAGCATACCTAATTTTTTTTTTTTTTTTAGTTTAAAACCATCCTTCTCCCTTGTACTATCACTGTCTGTCCCTGCAAAGACACAGAAAGACATGACCTTTAAGTGATTGAGGCCTGCCCTCCCCTTCTGTGTTTTGATCTTAGCCAGATTAGTTTTTAAATTTAACTCCTTTCTTAATTACCTTGTACTTTACATGCATCTTATGGAAGCTAGGGGAAAAGAAATTTTACTTTGAATCACCTGGAGCTGTATTTCTACCCACTCTATGTCTGTGGGTAGAGATTAAAAAAATAAAGGTCTTACCAAGTTCCAAGGGAAAGCACAGAGGCTAATTTTCAGTAGATTAGCAAAAATACAGAACTTTCAATCCTTTGGCTATGCAGTATCATGACTCAGTTCACATTCACAAAACATAATTATTATTTTCAGTTCACAGATTATTCTGATTTGGAAAGGACCCCCAAGGACCATTGAATCCAACTCCTGACAGAACGGTCCATACAGGGATCAAACCTGTGACCTTGGCATTCTTAGCACCATGCTCTAACCAGCTGAGCTAATCTCAGAGTTGTTATGTTCTTCTGAATAAAGCTAAATTATTTGAAATGTCCAGAGCCTGTGGGCAGGATTGGCTTTATTCCTGGGTAAAATAAGCTATATTACAGCTTTCAGTGGTTTCAACTGCAGATGTTTGTCCTCAGTTTCTGTCAAGACAAACAAGCAAAAAAGCCACCCCAAGCTCCCACCATGAGGCTCCACTAACCTGCCTTTGAAAGAAAAATCATAGGTGTCCAATTATTATCCATTCAACTGGTCTGTCAGCATCCACCCACTGACTTACTGTTTTCCAACAGGCTGTCTGTCGAACCAACGGCTTCTTCTCTTACCAAATGCCCACCTGGTTTGGTACTACCAAATACGTAAAACCTCTTGTCCAAAAACTGTGTTCCCACGAGCAGATGTTGTGTAGCAAGACATGCTACAACTCCATCAACATCTGTTTCCTGATCGATGGTTCCAGCAGCGTCGGAGAGAGCAACTTCCGCCTCATGCTGGACTTTGTCAGCAACGTCGCAAAGGCTTTTGAGATCTCTGACATCGGTTCCAAGGTGGCAGCTGTGCAGTTCACATATGACCAGCGCCCTGAGTTCGGCTTCACAGACCACGTCACTAAAGAAAAGGTCCTCTCAGCTATCCGGAACATTCGCTACATGAGCGGGGGCACTGCTACTGGGGATGCAATTTCTTTCACGATCAGAAATGTGTTCGGGCCAGTGAAAGATGGACCTAATAAAAATTTCCTCATTGTTTTGACTGATGGTCAGTCTTATGATGATGTTAGAGGACCTGCTGCAGCTGCACAAAAAGCAGGTAAATTACGTATTTTTAAAAGCGGTGCAAGTTGGTCCATCTTGTTTCTGCTCTACTGTAAATGTTAAGGTTTTAAACTTTGCAAAGTATAATACCTGCTTTGAATTCAGCAAAATGTAAGCCCCCAGGAACCGTTTCCCATTAGGATGACAAAAAACCCAACGGTCAGTATTACAGAGCCAGGTAGGCATAGATTCACTTATGGCAGCTTAGTGAACAACATACACCCAGTTTTACTTCTCTAAACAGTAGAGTAAGAATAAAGAACCAAGTAGTGAAGCTCCATCATCATCTAGGAAAGGAATAAGCAGTTTTGGCCAAAAAGCTCATTGGAGTGATGATGCTTGAAGCACTAAGCACTAAGGAACCAAACTCATTTTCAGAATTATTTTGCACAGTGTTACTTGTGTTTCAAGACTGATATTGTAACTACTGCATTCATGTGTGTCACTACAAAAACTACTAAGACACTAGCTTTTACAATACCTCATATTTCCTTCATGATTTTTCCTGAGACAAATCTTCTAATTCCTGATATTTAGTGGCAAACTCTAATTACCTTTGACAGACTGCAGATATTGAAACATACTTTTTCAATCCAGATTAATTCATGAATGTAGAAATGGCTGTTTTTCTTGTATCTACAGGCAAAATGGCCTTAACAATTTTTTTTCCTTTTGTAGGAATAACAGTCTTCTCTGTCGGTGTTGCCTGGGCACCTCTGGATGATCTGAAAGACATGGCTTCTGAACCAAGAGAGTCTCATACTTTCTTCACCAGGGAGTTCACAGGATTGGAGCAGATGGTTCCTGATATTATTAGAAGCATCTGTAAAGATTTTTTGGACTCTAGGCAATAAAGAAAAAATCTGCTGTTCACTATTACTACTTTGAAACTAAAAATCATGAAATTGAAATGGTCCCTCTAATGTACAGATGTTTTTACTCATCTATACTATCATAATACAAAGGAAGAAGAAGGGCTACTTTTTGTTTCTGTAATCAGTCAAGGATTCTTGTGAGCTTGTTAGAAGTTGTACTTGATACTGAAGTGCAAAATTTGGCCAACAGCTAATATTTTCAATAGGTACATAGTATCCCAAAGTTTAAAGCTATGCATATCATGCCCTTAAGGATAGCAGACATCCAGAGGAAATCATACAGCTCTGACTTTTTTCTGCCTCTTGCTAGATATCTTCTTACCAAAAATAATATAATTTTAAACACAAGGTACCATCTTCTATAAGCCTTCTGTAGCTTATGATTCTGCATCTTTTCAAGGAGTTCTACTGGTAACATGAAGTACTTTCAGTGCTCCAGTTGCAAAACATCCATTATTGCCAGGCAGTTTAAGAAAAGATATAACAGATTGTAGCTAAAACAGTCTATTTTTACTACTTAGGGTTTTGCTATTGTGAATGATACTGCCATCTGGTTGGAAAAATTTACACCAAAAGTCATTTAACTTCTGTGCACAGATTTCTGTGGATCTATTGGTTCTTTTGGCACAGATTTTGAAAGGTATTTAAGGCACAATAGTTCTTTGAGAACCTGGATCCTAAAATATTAGCTGTTACTACTGCTTCTTGCACCACTGAAGTCAACAGTGATATTCCAAATATAACTGACAACTGGATATTTCCTGTCTACTGCCATGTACTGTCTTGATTTAACAAAGTTGTTATTGGCTAGACAGATACAGGAATCTTAGGCCAAGAGATTAAATTAGACCACACAATGGGGACTGAAAGCATTTAAATTCAAATCCAAAGGTATCTTAAACCTTGAAACCTAACTGATTTATATCAGATTACATGGTTAGAAGAGAGTAGGCAGACATATTAAGTGGGATTTAGTAGTTCACAGAATAACAACTTCATAAGGATAGCAAAAACATCTTTTTGTGTGAGGTTTTCTGAAGATGAAAGAATAGTTTTCTTGATAAAAGGCTTTCATTTGATTACATACCTAGTAATATTGATATATTTGTACACCCACATGTGGTTAAAATGATGAGATATTCACAGAGTTATCCCAGATTCTTGGTGTGAATAACATACTTCAAGTATTTAGAAAATAAAGGGGGTTTGCAAGTAAAATATATAGTAGAAAACAAAACAGCACTTTCCCTATCAGTCTGGGGTTTCCCTTTTTTCCCAATATAGATTGTAAAATTTCTAGTAGTTACAGAGTGGCACAGAAGGGATTGTATTCATCAGGCTTTTGCTATGCATTTTTTAAGAACATATAACTGACTATATATTACTCTAAACATAAATGGCAAAGATGCCTTGTATTTTTCTAGTAATTGTTATCTTTAATTTTGTTATGTGCTTATAGATAAGAGTATTCAGCTTTTGCTGTATAAATTCATATGCTGTATCAACTTTGTGCTAAAGTTTCTTTCATTTAGTTTATAAACTTTTTATAGAAATACATACTGCAAGAAAACTGGGACTGCTGCTATCTGTTTTAATATCCCATAACACAAAGTCTTTTTATGATGAACCTCATGTAGTACAGCTTGAGTAAATTGTGTGTGATGCTTCCTGTCTGTATTATCTTAAATCCTAAGTCGTGCTTAAATAGCAGGGGAACTATTTATACAAATATTTTGAATGAGTCAATATCCAAGTTTTAGTCATTGTTTATACTAGGTACGATGCTAGTTAAATCTTCTGGATATAAATTGTATGCTAGCTAATAGAATCACATTTTCCCTCCTGCTTTGTTTTTACTATTGTAAAGGAGTAGGCAGTTTTAACTCGTCATTCATTCATCAAACAAAAAGCAGGTTTGGATCCCTGGGACACTGAAACCTGCAGAGCTAACTGCCCGCATATTTCCATCTCACAGGAATGGTGATGCCACATTACTTGCACCTTCACAGAGTCCTGTTACACTCGGGTAGGAAGTGAGCACAGAGAATACTTTCTGAAACATACAATGTTGATTGTAAACAAGCATTTGTGAGCACAATTTTGATCTGAGAAAAACTTTGGTGGGACACGGATAAAAGGATTGAGACCTGGTGAGATACAAAGACAAGGTGGAAAGGATGTGGATTGTGCTATAAGTGGAAGGTAAATTTGGAGGCAGAATAGCAAGGTAGAGGGTAGCAGACGTAATTTGAAACTCTGGCTTGAGTAAGAAGGTAAGTAAAGGATTCAGACAAAGATTCAGTTTTATGCTGCTGGACCAAGCGGTACAAAGAATGTGAACAGAGCTGCAGCTACCCTCAGTCATGCAAACTCAATTTGGGAAAACTGTAGCAGATTTGGGGCTGTCAGGAGATATAGTCTGCAGGCGGTCAATTCTGTTCTTTAGTGCGACCGACGAAAACCTTTGTAAAGGAGCTGGATTACATGATCTTTAAAAGGTCTTTTCCAACCCAAACCATTCAGTGATTCTCTATGCCCTATTTCCCTGAGCAGTACTCACAAGGCTGCTCAGGGGGCCTCAGATTTGCAACCCCACTGCTGATGACATACCGCTGCACATTAAAAAAAAAGAAGATTCCTTCACTTGAGTAGAAAATTCTGAGCTTAGGGGTTTAGGTATTTACTGGAACTCCCATTGAGCTGTTTTGAATTTTACATTAAATAGTTAACACAGTTCAAAACTCATCCTTCCCAGTGGAGCTCCCAAAGCAACATAAATTTACAAAGTTCTATTAATTTTCTATCCTAACTAAATTGAAATTATTTTTGTACTGTGGTAACTTCCCAGAAGGGCTACAACCCACAGCTGTTGGTTAGGACATACACCTGAGCACTGGAAGTGTTGACTGCCAGAAGACCAAGGAAGACACCAAATCTGTTTCTTACATTTCCCGTGTAAATTGTTCACTCACGGGCTATTTTATAACTGAATGGAGCACACAACTCCTTTGTCACTGGCAGTTTGTCTTTCTTAGTCCTGGAAGGAAACTCAGGCCAGTGTCTCTGTTTCTGCTTGGAAATTTTCAGCACCTCAAATTTTGCACCTTGCACAAATCTTAGGCATTTAGGTCCTCTCTTTATCATGACTCACCGTGTATCTACATCTCTTGATAGCATGACTCATTCTAGCCATAGACTTGTCAGACAAGTGCAGTATATAAGAAAAGCAGGTATATAGTCTAGGTCTAGAGATCAGTAAAGTGCAGAGAAGTCTTCATACGGCCAGGTATACATACACCCTGCAACCCGGTAGCAAAAGTCTTTTATATGACATCCTCAAGCAGAGTGCAAGAACAGGTCTCAGAAATTTACTGACTTTTATTACCATCTGTGAAACTTAATATTGAACCAGCAAGGAACAAAAAAGATCCACAAGAAAGACCATCCTAACATTCTTAAGAGAAAATAGTCACTTTAAAAGTGTTTACTTTGCCTTTTAAAATAAATGCCAATAAAGAGCTATGCAGAAATGAGCCAAAAAACCATTTGCATCAAAAGCCAACAACTATAATTCTCTACAACTTACAAAGCAATTTTGAAGTGGGAAGACAGAAGAAAGAACAGGGGTGTTGTTTTTGGCACTAAGTAGTATAGTTTCATCAGAACAGTAGATTCTCTCATAAATGTTTTTAATTATTCCCATTTGCATTTCATATTAGTGTTGTCACATAAGCTATGAGGTATGGTCCCATACAATACAGATAGTATATTTTCACCTCCCCTGTTCTGAAGAAGAAAAGTGGGGACAAGGCTTAAAAGCAAGACATAAGAAGGTGTTTCTAATGGGGCAGCTCTCAATATCACCACCTAGCTTCAACAATTTTGTCAGCACTTTCCTTCCTTTCATTAGGCTGAAGGGTAAGTCAGCTCCAGAAAGCATCAAAGCCAAAAAATCACAGAAAAGTTCACTGTTGCAGGCAAGTGCCACAGAAGGCCTGAGCACACTGTCAAAGATGATGCACTTTTATTTTAAACAAACCACGTGGAAACTGGGGGCTTAGATCCCCAGCCTAATTAAATAAATGAAGAAAAATCTTAACTGACTAGCTTTGGTTTGGTCCTGAGACAGTAACCCTAAATGGTGTTCTTGAGAAGTGAAAGCTGAATGTGGCTGAATAGTTTTTGATCAACTGTCATTCAAATATAGACACCAAATACATGGAAACTTCCAGTGAACAGTTTATAATTAAAATATGAGCAACTTTCCAGTTATATATGCCTATCAACTGGAGCACACACACTTTTGCCCTTATTGGCTTCAACAAGAATTTTGCCTCTAGCTTCAGCTGAAGGAAGAATAGGTCCTGAAAATTTGCTGTCTATGACTAAATCCAAGGTCTTAATCTCTGCTTTGAAGCAAATGCCCACTTTTAAATTTAATCCCATTAGGATCAAAATTTTCTTTCCTTTCAAACAATCAAGTCTGGTTAGTGAAGTGTCCTTGATTATAAGCTGCTTTCATTAACTGAAGGGTATTTATTGTTTTATTACTCTAAAATTTGTTTACATTCATCTGCATCTACATACAAACCATTACTGTGTCCTTACTATTTTTCTCTACATTTCACAACCAGAGCAGTCGCCTGTAAACACTAGCAGGGGCAGCTGAACTTCAGCTATCCTAGGATAATAAAGGGGAAAAGCACTGCTTTGGCCAGTTTGTTTACTACAGCCAAAAGGAGCAGGTAGCATTTGCTTCCCAGCTGCCAGGAAGCCAAACCTCACACTGAGGGCACTCTCCTGGGAGCCAGGTGCTGTCAGTTTGAATATACCCTCACCCTTAGAGTATAACTGAATCTGCAGCTGAAATTCATACTGGACCAGTTCCTGAGACACCAGCATGTGAATCCTCCCTTGCTGTTTTTGCTAGCAAATGCTAACTAAACTTGTCCAACCTTTGCTGAGGTCAGATACTGCCTTTACTACAATCGGAGTATGGCAGAATGCAAGCAAAGGGATAAGAACTATTTTTCTGCCCTGGTGGATGTGATCAGATTACAAATATGATAAACAATTATCTGCCAAAGAATACAAGTTAGAGACAACAACAAGTCAAAAGACTGAGAAAAAGACTGGCAAGACTTAGGAAAATAATCTAAATTAGATGGGAAAAATCACAAAAATTACTTACTATCTTAGCACTACTTTTGAATTTTTGGTAGATTCTAAATCAAACAAACTATATAATTAAAATAATATTTTTTTAAATCAAAAAATTCACAAGGATGTAGTTTCTGAAATTCTCTGACACTTACCCTTGGGTATTTTAATAACGTACTACTTGTTCAGAAAAGGAAGATGGGGAAAAACAGCTCTCTCCCATCTAAACATTCTAAATGAGGTGAGGTACACAAATTTGTCTTGAACTAGTTCTGGTGAGGACTAGGAGCCAGTTTAGAAACAAAACAGAACTGTCAGGCACAGCATGCTGGTAGAAAATACATTAACATGGAATTTACTCCCCAGTGGTCAGATTCGCTCAAATCTAAACAGAGACTAGACTAACAAACAATTAGAAGAAAGTGATCATGATCAGTTGCTTCTGTAAGCCCAAATATCTGCCAGAAAAAGGTTTCTAAAAGAATATAATGCATATGCACCACGGAAACTGTCAGGTGTTAGATCACTCAAATTGGGGAAAATATTTCCAGCCTCTAAGAAATTCTGTGTGGCAACTGTTAGCTAATTCCTCTTAACAGGAAACTATGCTTATTAAGAGTAGCAGAGTCAGTCACCTTGGTTATCTAAGGCAACAGAATCAAAGCAGAAATTCAGGACACTAACATACAGCTCCTGTTTTTGCAAACATATACGCTAGCAATGAGTTTCTACAAGTATTTTAAGACTTGCTGTCATTAAGATGCAGTAGTATTTCTATGTAACACTAAAAAACTTCAGCAGAGGGAATCTAGGGAAAATCTCTGGCTACCAACCAGTCCACCAAAAATGTCAGGTACGTAAGACAGAGCTATGATTCAGACTTCAACATACCACCACTGCATGCAGAGCATCTGAGGCCCTTCCAAGAGCTTCTGCTTTTGAGCTCCTGCCACCAACATTCGCAGCTGCCCACTGCTCTTCTCCCAGAGGCCTGATACTTCCCAAGAGCTGAGCTGCAGCACACTAAGCACTTTCATCCATGCCTCCCTGTCTGCACGCAGGATGTTCTACCAATAGAGCTAATGGGTTTGAATTTTTTTCTCCCAGCCATTGCTGAGATTTCAGAGAAGAAAGATACTTCTTCTGCATGAAGCAGGAGCTCTTTATTCCCACTGAATTATAGTCTCACCAGACCTTAGATGCAAGATGCCCCTAATCAAATGAGAAGCTTTTTTCTCAGAAAAGCCTTTTCCTTAGATAGAAAACAATCCCCAAATATTAATTAAAACACAATTCAAAACCAAGAAACTCACCCATTTCAAGGTACTAAAGAGCAACTGGAAAGACACCTGCAACAATAGAGAAAAACCCGCTTAAAAAAGCCAATCAGGCTAGTCACCACAAAGTCACCAGTAC